TCAAAGTTATGCCACCTTGTTGTATACCTTTGAGGCCTTTGGATTATATGAATAATTTTTAGGGGATGATTGACAGCTTTGCAGGTTTCTTGCATGTGGCTGAGGGATAACTTGTGTTCAATTTAAAGTACAGTGACAGTTATCTTAATTTGATGTTTGAATGATTTCCTTCTCTTTATTCGTATTCTTAATGTACACCTTATTTCCAGCATGACGATAATTTCAAGTCTATGGAAGTTAAGTTAATTAGGTTAGTGCTGCTTTACAATTAACAGGACATTAGTGGTCATAAACCTTGTGATTTGTTTGATGCTACCAGTGAAGAATGACAATGGATAGGGTACTATATTACACACTTCCATACCATGTTTTTGAAAAATACCTCTATCTGGATCCGGACCTATAACTGCATGGGTAACATTTTCAATATCCATACTCTTGTCCATTCAGTATCTAAATATCTGGACCTGGACTTGTTACCTGCATTTTACTTAATTTGAATATGATATTTCATTATGCTTTTATTTGACAAACTGATAAAATATGTATGTTATTATATAATACTAATATTAATTATGAAAAAACCAATAAAAAAGTATTAGTTTTTAAGTAAAATATGTAACTTAAATGAAGAAAATAGTGCAATTCTTAATTATAAAAGTTTCTTAAAATTATTTAAATTAAAAAAATATTTTAAACACTTAAAAATTTTATTTAGAAATATAATAAAAATATTATGCGGATATGGATAGGGTTGGGTTATAAAATACCCATATCTACAAAATTTAATGAGTAATTACCTGTACCTACTATACTCAGATGCATTTGATGAGTATATTCCATGCCCATTGCGGGAAAGGCCCAATTGCCATCCTACATTCAGGTCACTAAAGCTTTGTAACGGGGGAAGGAAGAGGATTAATTTTAATTTTTTACTATTAATATCATTAACTTTTTAATGTCATTTCATTTTTTTTAACTTCTTTTCCTTCCATTCAAATTAGTGGAAATATTTTTTTTTTCATTTTTTCTCTCCTATTACCTATCTAAACAATAAGTCCTTTTCACTTTATTATACTCTGTTTTTCACTTTCTTATTTCTTTTCTCTTTGTTTCATCCCTCTTCCAAACACATCATTAAGTTTGTTTGACTTGCTAAATTCTTGGGTCTATCAGACCAAACATAGGCCACACAAGACAGACCAAATGGTAAAAAGAATGAGGAAAAACTGAACAAAGTTGATGTAGCATGGGAACAAGGAACGATGAGTAATTTGGAAAGACTTTAAATTCTAAATGTTCAATACACATCTTTGTTAAGATGAATAATATGCCTTGTGTAGATGAATCAGATCCCAAGGGTTTGTTTGGTTTAAGAAAATATTTACTTTTTGTACAAATGATTTTCACTTTGTTTCTTTTTTTAATGATTTGTTCAAGGAACAAGAACACTAGTCTTGTTTTTCATTGATTATGGCTGGGTTTTGAGATATGCAAACATTTTGTTTCAAATGTTATACATGTTCAGCTTTTCTTAAAATAAGAATTTGAAAAAGAAGCTAGATATGCACAACTTTTTCTTGATTGAAGTTGCTATGATTATAGTGCATTTTAACTGATGGGAAATTGGCAATTCTATTAAATCTTTATAACCTTAGTTCTTTCAAATTCTTCTTTTGGTAAAGTAATGGACAAAGAGAACTTTGCCTTTTTGGTTCTAGGAGTTTAAGGTTGAGGGAAGTATTATTGAGTGGAAAGATTGGAATTTTGAGGTACCTTTTTTAAGTTGCTCCCTCCACCCTCCTCTCTTTTTGTCTTTGTAGTATTTATTGACTGAAAGGAGAACAAAGGAATTTTAATTTGTGACTTTTAAATTTAGCAATTTTTTAGTGAGCTGTAAATTACAAATTTTAATGATTGTATCAAAACCTGTTTAATCAATTTGAAAAATCGCAAACATAGTCAAATAAGTATTTCCTTTCAAATATATGTGTATGGTTTGTCAAATAAATGATCAAAGCTACTTATATATTTACACATTTTTCCTTATATGAAGAATCTTGGGGACACCAAATGAAGACACATGGCCTGGAGTAACTTCATTGCCTGATTTTAAATCAACATTTCCCAAATGGCCATCTAAGGTAATTAAACGAACCTTTGTCTTTAACCTGGAATAATTGCTGGGTTCTTCATTCAGTAAGAATTTTGCCTTGTACTTTGCAGGACTTGGCAACTGTGGTTCCAAATCTTGAGCCAGCTGGTCTTAATCTTCTTTCTGTAAGTACAAGATGTGATATAGTATTCTTTTTCATTGTCATTAAAAAATAGCGCCAATACGTTTGTAGTTCAACTGCCACTAGCCTCTGTCTCTAAGGCTGGGATGTGATGATAATGTTAAGAGGTTCAATTGTCCACTATGTCACGATTCACCCTTGCATACCCAGGTACTTATGCCTCCAATGTATCCGTGAAAAAGGTAATTGAAAATGTATAAGTGGGATAAATGAAACAATTTTTGTATTTCATTGCTAATTAAGAGAAAGTACTTTCTGCTTAGTTGAAAAAAAGAAGCAAGATTCTATTCTAGCAGTAATAAAACATAATTTGTCAGATAATAGTCACCCTCACAAGGTTTTACGAGATCCCAACCAATACTTAGCATAATGATAACTGATTGTATGTAGCTCAAAATTCAAGGTATTTTATTTGGGAAGAATAACAATGCAAAAATGATGATTTCAGTTCACTAAACATTCTCAAGTTGTTGCTATTTGTAAGGCACTTCATTTGCCTAAAGATAATATTTTTAATGCACTTCATTTATATAAGGCCTTTCAATTCATTAGTTCCATTGGCAAAATTCTGTTACTAATTGGTAGATCAAAACTAATGTGCCTTTTAAGTTGCAAAAACTGGTGCAATGCTTGACACTTCCTTCCATTTGATTTTTGCGTATTTATTTTTCTTGTGATCATAACATTTTTTATTTAAGTTTTATAATTTTCATTTTCATATGTTCAATACACTCTATGAGTGTTGAATCTCTTCAGTAATATACAACTCCATTAAAATTTGAGCTGATAGCAGCGAAGGAAGGAGAGAGAGAGAGAATCTTTTTTTCACGTTGATCTCTAAGGAAGATGCTTGTAAATGACACTTGGATGCTGTATTTGCTTTTTGAACATTAGCTGTACCCTTATCTGGGTCCCAAGCTGATTTACATATCCGCTGTATGGTGGGATTATTAGATAACAAATGTATTTCCGGTATTTGATTTATCATATATCTCACAAAATTTGTCCATTGATTTTTTTCCCCTCCCAATCCTCTATCAGTCCTTTTTTTTTTTTTTTTGCATTTTTATAAGTTTTCTTCGTCATGGATATTAACATCCTTTTTGGTTCCTCGGGTACTTTTATTGATTTTCTCTGGCGCTTACTTTATTGTATGTATGCCTGTAGAGTATGCTTTGCTTGGATCCCAGCAAAAGAATTACGGCTAGGAGCGCTGTCGAGCATGAATACTTCAAAGACATAAAGTTTGTACCCTGATTCCGTATCTTCATGGCAAACGTGTTTATAGTAATATTGTGCAGAATTTATGGGTTTTGACTATGCGAGAAATGCGTGCTTTCTTTGCTATTTTGTTTAATGAATTGGGAGTTGGGAATATTTCCATTTTTTGTCCTTACAAAATATTTCAGATTCAGCTTGAGTGTGATCATATTGCATATTAATATCACCTTTTTCCTTGTCCAATTCTCGATAAATTACACCAGGTAAATTTTCAGTTTGCTTGTTATGTGTGATAGTGATACATTCTTGTAGAAGAAACACGTGACTACATTATTGCAAGATGTCATGAAATTACCATTTTAATTTAAAAAGTTACTTTTTCATTTGATTGTTTTTATAACTCAATAACTTGTGTAATGAAATTTAGTTGCGCCAGCCAAAGTAATTAAAATGATTTTCTTAGATCCTGTTCAGACATCAAATAATAGTTGAACTAGGAAAAGTTGTGAATTAACTTCTATTTGTATGAGTTTTTCCAAACATCGCTTTTAAATAACAAGTATGATCCAGGTTTGTGCGCTATATATTCAATGAGCTCTTGTAACCATTTAATATGATAAGTTCAAATAAATTGATTTTAAGTGATAAGTTTTTGAAATATTTTTTTAATAAACTAAATTAATCTTCAAAATTGTATGGATTGAGTATTTTTGTTCCTGCGATTTTTAAAATTTGTTGTTAGTCTCTAATTTTATAAATTTTATTTACTTTAGTTTTTTTTTGGTGAAAGATGGCAATGAAAAAATAAAATAAAAAGTTATTAAAATGACTCTTTTTTTTCCTCCAAAAAATAGGCATCGAAAGCCCTTTTTGGAGCAACAAGTTGGTTTTTGCAAATGAAACAGTTCCTAAATTTTTAAGCATTCAAATATCTGATTTATATAACCTCAAGGACTAATCCAATGTTTGCTCTATTATATTTGTTATCACTAAATCTAATTTTTTTATTAGTAAGATCAATGTGGGATTTCATTTAATAATATAAACAATGTATTAAAAAGAGAATGTAGAAAATGTAATGTAACTATTTTTAAATTCTAATTAAAAGTATGGCGTGCAACGAAGGAAGTAGATGAGACATTATTGGGCAGAGTAAGCAGTGAGTTATTTCTGACTGGTTTTCAAAGTAAAATTGAAAACGGAGCGCTAGCACAAGCACAAGCACAGGCACAAGAAAGAAAATACAAAATCGAACTTGCCAAGCTCACTTCTAGTATTGACACGTTTAAGTAAAGTGAAGCATGACAGGCTCCAAAAGCTAAAAAGGAATTCTCAACTGAAACCCATAATATTTAAGAGCCGTTGGATTACGACTGATGGGTGCGTTGTTGTGTGCTATATAAACCCCCAGACAAGACAACCAAGACAGAAGACACGCACTTCTCATCATTCATTTTCATTCATTCGGTACAGAGAGAGAGAGAGAGAGAGAGAGAGAGAGAAGGTGCAGAGAATGGGAGGGAGGCACGACATAGACGATTTGCCAAAGAACAGTGCGAACCACACTGCCTTGACGCCACTATGGTTCTTGGAGAGAGCAGCTCTGGTGCACCCCACCAGAAGATCCGTGGTCCATGGATCAATGCATTACACGTGGCATCAGACTTATCAGCGTTGCCGTCGATTCGCCTCTGCTCTTTCTAACCATTCCATTGGACTCGCCAACACTGTAACTGTCTTACACCTCTCTCTCTCTCTCTCTCTCTCTTTTTTCCCAAAATTTTATTTTGAAAAATAAAAATCTCATCTTTCTGCACCTCAAACTAATAGTTGCTTACGTATAGTTATTTATTTTAGTGTTTTCATGATTTGGATTCAGCATTCAACTTGCATAGTATTTTGTTGGCGTTCTTTGTCTTTTATAATCATCATCAGCATTGGTTCAAGTGGATTTAAAAAATTTAGCTTCTTCACTTATTATCGCTACGTGCAAATAATTGTTAAATTTATACTCCAATTCATGCATGTACCTATGCAGTCCTGTTGTGAATTTTTGGTGGAAGAACTTACTTTAAAATTGTGGACTTTCATTTCCCATCTTTTCATTGTGTTAACTTTTATCTATGGCTGGCTTTAGATATTTTTATTAGGGTGTGTCTTACGTTTGAAGACCGGTAAATGTGAATACAATGTAAAAGCTATGATTAGTATCCATTGGCATTTAAGTGCCAACCCAAACATGCTATTTGAAGGTGTTCATGTAAAGTAGTTTTTTTGTGCCCAAAATTGAAGTAGTTTCTAATGTAATGCTGCCATCAGGTAGCTGTTATTGCACCCAACATTACAGCACTTTATGAAGCTCATTTTGGAATTCCAATGGCAGGAGCTGTATTGAACACTGTGAATATTCGGCTAAATGCATCAACAGTGGCTTTCCTTCTTGCTCATTCATCAGCAGCAGCTGTAATTGTGGATCAAGAGTTCTTTTCCTTGGCTGAAGATGCTTTGAAAATCTGGTCTGAGAAAAGCAAAGCCTTTAAGCCTCCATTTTTGGTTGTCATTGGTGATGAAAATTGCCACCCCAAGACACTCAAATATGCTTTGTCCAAAGGAGCCATCGAGTATGAGAAATTTCTAGAGAGTGGTGACCCTGAATTTAAGTGGAAACCTCCAGAGGATGAGTGGCAAAGCATTGCTTTGGGCTACACTTCTGGTACTACTGCTAGTCCTAAGGGTGTGGTGTTACACCACCGAGGGGCATATCTCATGTCTCTAAGTGGGGCTCTTAATTGGGGAATGAATGAAGGTGCTGTTTATCTGTGGACACTTCCCATGTTTCATTGCAATGGCTGGTGCTATACTTGGACTCTTGCAGCTCTTTGTGGGACAAACATTTGTCTTCGTCAGGTAAACTAAAGACCTGCCTCATTCGCTTGTTGGTAATTTCTAATTCTAGCTTCAAGTTTGATGCTATCATTAATGTGATGATGAGCCTCCCTAATAATCGTGATATACATGATTGAAAAATAAAGCTTATATTGAACTTGTATAGTTATTTGAACAGGATTTCAGAGTTCCTTCCGAATCAATCCTTTTGCTGTTTATTTTGTGACTAGGTGATAAATTGTAGTTTTAGAAAGTTCAAACATACCCAAGTTTTTGTTATATAAAACAAACAATTCTCCTATACTGCTTGAAGTAAATCTGTTTAAGAAAAATGCTGCTTTTTCTTTAACTAATGTTCTAGAATTTAATTTAAATATACTGACAATGTAAAGATTTTTTATACATCATGAATTGCCATATTAGCAAGAATCCTTGATTTTTGTGATAATTAATATAAAAATCATATCCATGATATATTCTGATTAGTTGACAGTATAAAAATCTTTACACTGATAGCGCATCAAAGTCAAACTCTATGCTCTATGCTGTATGCATTTTATTGAGAGTTGCTTTCTTTAACATCTAGTTAGTTAATTGTTTGCTTTATGCATGAACACAGGTGACAGCTAAGGCAGTGTATGCAGCCATTGCCGAGTATAAAGTGACTCATTTTTGTGCAGCACCAGTGGTGCTTAACACAATAGTCAATGCCTCTCCTGAGGAAACCATCCTTCCTCTACCACATGTTGTACATGTGAATACAGCAGGGGCAGCTCCTCCTCCATCAGTAATAGCTGCGATGTCTCAACGAGGATTTCGTGTCACTCACACTTATGGTCTCTCAGAAACCTATGGCCCCTCCACAGTATGTGCCTGGAAGCCAGAGTGGGAATCACTGCCCCTTGAACAGCTAGCCAGGCTTAACGCAAGGCAAGGGGTGAGGTACATTGCCTTGGAAGGCCTAGAAGTTATGAACACTAAAACCATGCAACCTGTTCCTGCTGATGGTGCCACTGTTGGTGAAATTGTGATGAGGGGTAATGCAGTGATGAAAGGGTACTTAAAGAATCCAAAAGCTAATAAGGAGGCTTTTGCTAATGGATGGTTTCATTCTGGTGATCTTGCTGTGAAGCATTCAGATGGATACATTGAAATTAAGGACAGGTCAAAGGATATCATAATATCTGGTGCTGAAAATATCAGTAGTGTTGAAATAGAGAATGCTCTTTACTCTCACCCTGCAATACTTGAGGCATCAGTGGTTGCAAGGCCAGATGAGAAATGGGGTGAGTCTCCTTGTGCATTTGTGACTCTGAAGCCAGGGGTGGATAGTAATAATGAGCAGTGTTTAGCTGAAGATATAGTGAAGTTTTGCAGGTCCAAGATGCCTGCTTATTGGGTCCCAAAATCAGTTGTGTTTGGACCATTGCCAAAGACAGCTACTGGGAAGACTCAGAAGCATTTGCTGAGGGCAAAGGCAAAGGAGATGGGACCTGTTAGAATGAGCAAGTTGTAACCATGTTATCTTATGCTGCTGGTTGTTGCTCTGACATTTGAGTGAGACTAGGATTGTTTTTAATGTTGTTTTGTCTACAATAAAAGCTTGGAGAATACTAGCGAATTAGAAATCATTTTCAAGTATAAATATTTTATCCAAGACTTATTTGAAAAAAAAAAAATAAAAAGGAAGAAAAAATCATATAATTTTGAGGGAGTAAAATTTTAATTCAGCTTAGGGATAAGAGCATGCAATGATGCAACTTTCTGAAATCTCTTTTATAAATAAACATCCTAAATTTTCACTCTATCATAGTTAATCCTTAAACCACGTGAATTAATTCCATAGACTCTTGTATTAAATGGAGGTTAAGTCACTAATGCAGAACAAATCTTGACCTTGTTTTTAGGTTCAATTTTAGTTATTTACTTTTCTCAATAAATTTTTTCTTATGAAATGAAAATAGAAGATTTCTATCTCAAATTCCAATTCCCAAGTGGTTCAAGTTCGGAAAGAGATCATTTGCAGTGATATTACCACTGCATTAATTCTCAACTATTAAATATATATAAAATTTTATTAAATGATATATTTTAATAAATTTGAACAGTCAAATTAAATACTTTACACCTTTGAAGTAAAGTTTCCACATGAGAGTATCTTAATCCTATCTACTTCTGCCAACTTATAGAGTCACCTATCAATTTTTTTAATAAATTATACAATTTATACACATAACATATATATTAGTAAGGAAATATGGTCCTACACTATACAATTTTTTTTTTAACTTCCACCTCAAACTCTAGCCCCTTTGTGACCCCTCCCATTATGATGCCTTCTCCAAGTTGGTGGCGCGACAACTTGCTAATGGTGGGTCTATGATGGTGCGTGGCTAGGAGCCTAGGTCCGTTCTGAAGGGGCTTTGGGATGTGGTAATTAACAACTTTGAACTTTGAAGGTGATACATAGTACAGTGAACACACACGAAGAGAACCCACTTTTAACTCAATAATTTATAATTCAATAAAATATTCAGTTTAACTTCAATTTTACAAATTATCATTTATTTTATAAAAGTTCTTTCATGAAACTGAAAAAATATTAAGCAATTATCTCTTTAAACATGCTCCAGATTATAATTTTTTTTTGGACTGGGTATAAAAAAATTCGGACTGATCATCAACCCATGGTTGTCTTTTCAGTAGTGGTCGAAATTACTAACAATAGTAAAGCAGCATGTCACTAAACTCCAAATACCGTCGTTTCACAAATTTTCACAGGGAATATCAATAATAATATTGATGAGCTATTATGTGATAGAACATTGCAAAGATAAGTAATACTTGAATTTAAAAGAGCATAGCATTGCAAAAGTGTCCACCATACATTGGAGAATCAATATCAACTTTTCAAGCATGGTATTGGACGGATTTTACCTTTTTAATCTTTTTTATTTCGAACATAAAATAAGTTAAATTTGTAAATTAAAAAAAATAGATGAATGATTAGCATTGAACCCAAATCAAGGGTAACGTTGAGAGTAATTGCATGCTCTTCCCTTACGCCTATATAACATAGCTAGTGTGAAAATTTATAGTAACAACTCCTTCTAAAAGCTTTACATATTAGCTACTACAAAAAGGGTAATAAAAGGGAAACTAGTGTAGTTTTCTTTAAAAAAATTACGTTTAGTTTTTGTTGAGGGGCATGCACTGAAGTGTACGTGTTTCTCATAGACAATTATTAACCACAATGATCCTTGTAACATATTTTACATTTACAACTCCTTGTACCATTGATTCATGTGTATCATTTTGAAAAATATTGGAGTGAAACAAGGATAACGGTTTGCATGAAAGAGGAGGTTTGGGAATATAGAGTTTCTAATTTCACAAGTCTATGTTTGTTCATAGAAAATATTAATTTCTGAGAAATATTTGCGTCGTTTTCATTTTCTGAGAAAAGTTCATCCAGCCAATCCTTCTATTCAATATCCACAATGTTACATTCCAGATTTTTAGATATTGAGAACTGTATGTTGCTGAAAAAAAGAAAAGTCATTAGCCACAATGATATTATTATTTATTTCTTATAAAAACAATTGATCGGTTTTAGGGCAAGTTAGAATTAGTAGGGTAAACACATTTATTGAACCCAAAATAGTTTAGCCTGTTTTAGATATAAGCCCATATATACTTTTTCGTTAAGGTAGACCATTTCAATCCCTCAACTTTCAAATATACTACAGTTGGTTTGGACTCTCTCTCTCTCTCTCTCTATATATATATATATATATATATATTACACACTCAACACATACAGATTGTTCCTATTATTTTCATTACAAGATGCATAACGCCCAAGCACATGTACAATTAAATGCAAACACAAAGCATAAATACACGGAATTCATATTGTTCTAAATTTATTATGGAAGCAATAAAGAAATACGAACATAACCTATGTATAAAGCAAGTGGATATATTCATTTTTATTGTTATTGTTTTATTACGAGAAAACACCTTAATACTTGGTGTAGATCAGAGGAGGCAGACTAAAATATAGAAAAAAAACGGCTATAAGTACAGTTCAATTATTAGTTCTAACAATTATCAAATTGATGACAGTTTGAAATATTATTACAATTTTATAAATGATCGTTGATCCCCCTTTGACAAACAGCTCTATTTACTATGACAAATATTATTTGTACTACTAAAATCTACTGTTGGGTATATTTCTAAAATGCGTGTATATATATCTATATCTATCTATCTATCTATCTATCTATATATATATATATATAATAGAAATAATTATATATAATATCACATAAAATATATTCAAATAATAAATTTCAATTGTTATTAGCACCAGACAACTGTACTAACATGTTAAACAGTGTGGGCGTTGGGATTGTGGCATTCTATTAGGCAGATTCAAATTCAACAAACTCTAGCAGCCAGCCCATCTATAATAGATTAGTTTGAAAAAGGTTAAGAATACGTTTTAAGGAAATCAGACTAAAAATATTAATTACATAAAAATAAACAAAAATGAATATTTACTTTTGAATAATTTAAAATATATAATAAGATATATTATATATTTTTATGTAATTAATATCTTTAAAACAATGGTTAGCACAACTAGCTTATTAATGTTGAGTATCTTTTGTTCATCATCCGGTACTAGTTTACTAATTATTAAGAAGGTTATTAAGATCACCTGAAATTAAGTCTACAAATGATTAATCAAACGCACACAGCATTTGTTAACTCATCTTCCACATGTATTGAACTTGTCTGCAGAACTCAACAGAAGTCCAATCACCAAAACCAACATCAAAAGGAACCCAATTCAACAATATAATTAGGTCTAAACTCTTTTACTTGTGTGTGACAATAAAAAAGACAAAAGGCTAGAAAAGATATGAAGAAAGGACTCTGTGTGGCTTTTCTTGAACTTGAAATGCACTTAAAGGCTGTGGCATAGGATCTCTAAATGATTCCCCAAATAAAGGCCAATGGATTGAACAAGCCTTGCCCTTTGGAAGTAAAGTCATTTATAGCACATGGAAAAGGGCCACGTGGCCCAAGACCCAAGAGGCTTAATCCTGTTTTTCAGTTATCGTGTACCAAGTTGGAGCAAAATTAAAGATTATAAAAAATAAAAGGATTACTCACATGGAAAGGATCTTAATTTGCAACTCCCAATGTGCATCTCATACATGCATTAATATGAACTAAGATCCTAATCAACTTCATAAACTTAACGTGCCCACATTTCCCAGTTGAAACGGGTCTATAGTCAATTGCTTAATGCTTTGCCTTTTTCCCTTGAGTCTGTTCAAGCGCTGTTAAATTGCTGGTGAAGTAAAGATAATTATAACTATTGCCTAAATTATTAAAAAAGTTATGATAGATCAAGAAGCCAAATGTGCTTACAATAATTATCATTATAATTATATACATCGTGACCGCAAATATTATTGCAGATATGGACAGTTAAGCTATGTATAACATATACATATATGTACAATTTTTTAGGGGGTTTTCTAATGTTAGAATTAATGTACGTGTGTTGATGGTCCATAGCCTGCATAAAATTCTACAGCTAAGCCTATTAAGTAGGCACTGTGGTTGGTGGTCGGGTGCAAGAACCCCACCCTATCAGATATAAAGTCAGTTTGTCTTTTTGCAATTGGGTTTCTTATTAATTATAAATGTAGCTGACTAATTCTAAAGTGCAATATAGGATGAAGCAAACACCTCCTACGTATCCTGAGATTTTGCGCTCTTAAAGTAAGAAAAATATATTTTAAAAGATAAAATGTGTTAATAATTGTTAATTTTTAAATAATAGTTATATATACTTATATCATTATCTTTTAAAACATGTTGTCTCACTTTAGAGCATTCAAATCTTGTATCTTGATTCAGCTAGCAAATTGCAAAAATCCAGAAAGGAAAAAGGGGGGGTGGGGAGATTAAAACTTTGAAGTGGAACCCTACTTTGACCGTGTTTAAGGGGTTGATTAGAATGTGTTAATGACTAGTTGAAAACTAGAAACAGGTGGCATGCATGATCATAGCCGTCCATGGAGACTATTTGAAGGGCTATGATGATGGGTAAGGAAGTGACGTCTCAACGCGTCATGGGCCTTTGGCAAGTGTTCCGCGTGCCCATGAACACGGTTGTCACAGGCAGTGCCAAAAACATTATTTTAGTGCATTTGGGGCTTAAACATTTCATTTGTTTAATGGGGAAGTGGCAGTGATAAGCGAGTGCGAAGGGTTGGCATTTTAAGAGCCCTATGAGTCATTGTTTAATTAATATATATGCATCATATTAATTATTATTAGTACATGAACACATGATATAATTTTGATGTATGATTAAATTAGAGGCCTGCTTCACATGGTAGGGTGATGGTGATTCTTAGTGGGAAGACAAAACCCTTGTTAGAGTATTGCTGAAAGAATCCCAGTTTAATTTTGTTCTTTTGTGGGGTG